GCTAAGGGGCATGGACTTCTAGAAGCAATGAGGATTAATTGAAGATATGTGAGAAGGGGTGTGTGAGGAAGGGACAGAAGCAAGCATCATTTCTAAGACTTGGCAGTAGGGGCAGCTAGGTGGCACAGTAGATAGAGCTCTGGACTTGGAGTCAGGAGGACCTGAGTTCAAATGTGACCTCAGACACATAACACTAGCTGTGTGACCTTAAGCAAGTCACTTAACCCCAACTGCCTCATCCAAAAAAAAAAAAAACCAAGGCTTGGCAGTAACATCATCTTTTCATTTCTCTATAACTCCTTCCCATGAGTTTCACTGCTGCGGGAAGGACATTGGTCTTGGAGTCACAAGATCTGGGTTCTAGTCCTGATTCCAACACCCACTGTGTCATCCTGAGTGAGTCACTTCCATCACTGATTTTCAGTTTGCATTTGTAGGACTTGGAGTCTTACCTGGTTCCACTACTTACTTGTGTGTCATTTGATTTTTTTTTTGAGGCAGTCAAGGTTAAGTGACTTGTCCAGGGTCACACAGCTACTAAGTGTCTGAAGCTACATTTGAAGTCAGGTCCTCCAGACTCCAGGGCCAGTGCTGTATCCACTGTGCCACCTAGCTACCCCAAGTTATTTGATCTTAAGCAAGGCATTTAAATGCTCTGAGATTCAGATTTCCAGGTTTCCTGTTACCTCCAAAATCACATAGAAAATCCTGTTTGGCATTTTAAGCCCTTCACAGCCCTGTCCATTCCTGCTTTTCCAGTCTTATAATTTACTCCCTTTACTCTATGCTCCAGTGCACGGGCCTACTCATTCTTTACCCGTGAGTCTCCATCTCCGGATTCCATGTCTTTGCATTGCATTGATCACCTCTGGCTGCCCTGGCTTCCTTCAAAACAGCTCAAAACCCACGTTCTACAGGACCTTTCCTGGTCCATTACACTCTATCCTCCCTCCAAAATTTTTGGTGCCATCCCTCTCTGGGATTACCTTCCATTTACTCTTTCTGCATCTTATCTGTACCTAATGAAGATGTGAGCTCTTGAAGCCTCTTTCTTTGCACCCCTTGTTGTCATTCATTCATTTCAGTCATATTCTGACTCTTCGTGACTCTATTGGGGGTTTTCTTGGCAGAGATAGTGGAGTGGTTTGCCATTTCCTTCTCCAGCTCATTTCACAGATGAGGAAACCGAGGCAAACAGGCTTAAGTGACTTGCCCAGGGTCATTTAGCTAGTAAGTGTCTAAGGCCAGATTTGAACCCGGGAAGATGAGTCTTGGGGATTTCAAGCCCAGTGCTGTGTCCACCCAGCTGCCCTTCTGACACCTAGTAAATGCTTAGTAAATTCTTGTTGCTCCTGAGTCCTTCAAGATTATTTCTAATTTACCCAGTATCTGTCCTCTTTGTACATAGTTATTTGAGTGTCACCCCCCAGCCGACTGTGAGTTGAAGGAACTCACAGAACAAGGGAGATACTTTATTTTCATGTAGTACAGTGCCTGGCACATAGTAGGCACTTGATCAGTGTTTGTTGACTGACTGACTACAAGGAGTGCATTGGACTTGATTTCTAAAGACCCTTCCAGGTCTACAGTTCCATGATCCAAAGTCACCTAACTTCCAGGGGGCTTCAGTTTCTTTCCAGATAAGCATAGAAGGTGGTGTTCGGGGGGGGGGGGGGGGGGGTAGGAATTCAGATCAGAATTCGAATCCTTGCCCTGATGGTGTTTACCTGGGTGACTGTGTGCAAGTTCTGTAAAATGGGGATGATAAGACCTACCTGACAGGGCTCACACACACAGTGGGGTTATAGTGAGGAAAGCACGTTGTAAACCTTACAACACTAGAGATATATGAGGGGTTATTAACACCTACCTCCCAGTGAGCAGAATGCTAAACTTGAGTTCAGGATCCCACCTTCAGCCTTTATTAACTATGTGACCTTGGGGGTAAACACTTAATTTCTCTGACCCTCAGTTCCTTCATCTATAAAATGGGAATAAAAACACCTGGAACACCTACCTCATAGGTTGTTACAAGACTCAGATGAAATGATATATGCAAGCCTTAAAGCATTATACAGGGTGTCCAAGCTATTCAGAGTTTAGGCTTTAAATTAAAGCTTAAAACTTCACTAAGATTTTTGAGACACTGTATACTTACCACTATTATTAAGACAGTGCTTTGTCAACCCTAAAGCACTAGCGTTTGTATTCTCTGTGCATTTCGTTTAAATTTCCATAAATAAGAGGCACCATTAAACAGATTTGTGGGGGCAGTCCCTGCCTTCAGGGGTAATACCATATAAGCAGGAAGACCCAGTCCAGCCAGTTTAGACCAATATGAGCTCTGCTCAAAACTGTAGAAGAAGAGGCCTTGGCCTCTCCCTGGTGTCTCTGCCAGGTTCCCCTCTGAGGGGTAGCCCCAGTACCTCGGACACCCACGCTGTCATGCCAGAGCTCGGCTGGCTTTGGGAGTGAAGGCAGGCCGGGCCCAGCCTAGCCAGAGCCACAGGCCCTGGGAGGGCTCCCATTGCCCCTGATCGCTAGCTCCCCGGTGAAGAATTCAGCAGCCTTCTTCTTGGAGCTGAGCACAAGGGAGACCTCACTGCAGAGCTAACAAGGGAAGGACAGTCAGCAGTAAGTACTTGGGTGCTGCAGTTAAGCCCTAGCTCTAACACTTCAAAGCCGTACGATCACAGGAAAGTAATTTCACTCTCTGTGCCTCAGTTTCCTCTTTCTCCTTAGCCGACATTTTCTTCCTGCCTGACCCTCTTGGAGGTCAAAGTGCTGGCCACATAGAAACTCAGTAAACAAAAATAATAATTATCATTATTGTTAATAAAAGTAATTCCTATTTTTTGTAGCACTTTTAGTCTTATAAAATACTTTTCTCACGGGAGCCTTTTGAAGTAGGCATTGCCGATGTTTTTATCCCATTTCACAGATGAGGAAATTAAATTTCTGGAATGAAATTAATTGCCCTTGGTCACAGCTAGTCGCAAAGCTGGACTTCTGAAGTAGTGGGTTCACTGTCACTGTCATGGGGTCATTGATTTAGAACTGGAAGGGACCTCACATAGTCCAGCTCTCAGTTTAGAGATGAGGAACCTGGGATTTAGGAGTTCAGATGGAAGCTGGGTGAAGAAGGCTGCAGGTGGTGTTTGTGCCGGGTGAGAGGGTGGCAAGCTAGATGATCCCTCCTGGCCTTTTTAGTGTGAAGATTTCTATCTCATCAGCTGACTGATGCCTAAGGTTTTAGGATTCCTTGTTGATTGATAGATGGAATGATCTCTGTTACGATCAGATGGCCAGTGCACAGCTGGCTTGATTTCATCTCCCTCTTAGCCACCATCCTTTGTAAGCTCTAGGAGTAAGGCTGGGGAGGGGGTGGTGGATGGAAAGCTGGGGAAACCCACAGCAAAGGCTCCTTTGCAAAATGTTGTTAGGGAACCAGAAGTAGAAATGATGCCCAATTCCCAAGACTAAATATCCTTAGGACATGGTTTGTTAGAAAACAAAACACAACGCTCAGTAGATAGAGCACAGGCCCTGGAGTCAGGAAGAGCTGAGTGCAAACCCTGCCTCAGACGCATAACACTGGCTGTGTGATGATTCTAGGCAAGTCACTTAGCCCCACTTGCCCTAACCAAAAAAAAAAAAAAAAAGAAAACAAAATGTAAAAGGTCAGAGCTAAAAGACACCAGAGAGGTCATCTACTCCAACCCCCTGGAAGGGCCCCCTAAGGGGCCCTTCTAGCTCTGATGGAAATTCCATGTTCTGTGTTCCAGCATTCTGTATGTGTCTTAATGTTCTGGATTCAGTGTTCCAGCATTCTTTGTCGTAATGGCCTTTCTAGTTCTAATACTTTGAAGGTCCCTTCTAGTTCTACCTTGATAATTTTAAGGCCCCTGCTACTTCTAACATTTGAAGATCCTATGGAAAAAAGCAGACTCTCCGAAGAAATGCAAGTGAGATTTAGTAGACAGTCCCCCATTGCATTGTAAGGTCCAGAGAGCACAGTCAGCACTAAACTTTGCATCTGCCTAATCAGGGAGAGAGGGAATAAGCATTTATTTAGTGCCTACTGTGAGCCAGGCACTGTGCTCATCACGTTACAAATACTATCTCAATTGATCCTCACGACAACCCTGAGAGGTAAGTACTGTCATTACCCCTGATTTATAGTTGAAGAAACTGAGGTAGACAGAAGTGAAGGGATTTACCCAGGGTCACACAGCTAGTAAGTGTCTGGGGTCAGATTTGGACTTGGGTCTTCCTGACTTTAAGCCCAGTGTTCTATCCGCTGTGCCCTAGCTGTCTTTTATCAGCTAGAAGTATTCTTTATAACGATAAAAGATTTTTTTTTAGGCAATTGGGGTTAAGTGACTTGCCCAGGGTCACACAGCTAGTAAGTGTCTGAGGTCAGATTTAAATGCGGGTCCTCCTGACTCCAGGGCTGATGTTCTATCCACTGCACCATCTAGCTGCCACGGATCAAAGATTTTTTTTTTTTATATAAAGTGAATTCCAAAGAAGAAGGTCACTTGGAGTTGAAAGTGTCAGGCAATAGGGAACTGGCTGTTGTTTCAAAGCAGACTAATTAAATAACAATAGCAGTTTTGTTCAGAGAGAAGTGGAATTCTGGAATTTTCATCATCAAATCTGATTTGCCCATCTGAAATAGTATTCACATAGTCTTCTGGATTTAAAATTAAAACAAAAAGAGTTCAAAGTTCTGATTCTCTAGGAAAAAAAAGAAAATGAAGGATGAGGGGCAGCTAGGTGGTGTAGTGGATAGAGCACTAGCCCTGCAGTCAGGAGGACCTGAGTTCAAATCCAGCTCAGACACATAACACTCAGTAGCTGTGTGACTCTGGGCAAGTCACTGAACTCCAATTGCCTCAATCGAAAAAAAGAAAATGATTCTCTAGAGATGACTATGCATTGTGTACATAATGAGAAATTTATTACTGCTTATGGCCTTATTGATGTTTCCCCTCTAGGTTTTTCTCAACATCCTAATCTCTCACCATGTCTGACCCCATCACTCTGAACGTTGGAGGAAAGCTCTATACTACCTCCCTGTCAACTCTGACCAGTTTTCCCAACTCCATGCTGGGAGCCATGTTCAGTGGGAAGATGCCCACCAAGAAAGACAGCCAAGGCAACTGCTTCATCGACCGTGACGGCAAGGTCTTCCGCTACATCCTGAACTTCTTGAGGACTTCCCACCTGGACCTCCCTGAGGATTTCCAAGAGATGGGGCTACTCCGAAGAGAAGCAGACTTCTATCAAGTGCAACCTTTGATTGAAGCCCTTCAGGAAAAGGAGGTGGAGATGTCCAAGGCAGAGAAGAATGCCATGCTTAATATCACCCTGAACAAACACGTGCAGAACATCCACTTCACCGTCCGGGAAGCCCCGCAGATCTACAGCTTGTCCTCTTCCGACATGGAGGTCTTCAATGCCAACATATTCAGCACGTCGAGCCTTTTCCTAAAGCTCTTGGGCTCCAAACTCTTCTACTGCTTCAACGGCAACCTGTCTTCCATCTCCAGCTACTTGCAAGACCCAAACCACCTCACTTTGGATTGGGTGGCCAGCGTGGATGGCTTACCCGAGGAAGAATACACCAAGCAGAATTTGAAGAGACTGTGGGTGGTGCCGGCCAACAAGCAGATTAATAGCTTCCAAGTGTTTGTGGAGGAGGTATTGAAAATTGCACTCAGCGATGGCTTCTGTGTGGATTCTTCCCACCCGCACCTCTCTGATTTTATGAATAATAAGATTATCCGATTGATACGATACAGGTAGAAAGGCCCAGCTTCCAGCACATACGCAGTCTACAAGATAACACGAGGTCAGCAGAGTGTTTCTCTTAAAGCATCAGCTAAGAGAGAGTCACCAGCAGTGTGATACAGAATCATATACTAATATGTATTAATCACTAAGCAGGAGTTGATTTTCCCCCATAATGTAGCTATCTGTATGCCCCTTCAGAATATATGTGTTCTCTACTCAGAGGGAGCGTTCTTCTCCAGGTTTGTCAGGGTACTGCTAGTATATTACCAGGGTTGGAGGGTCTCCTGATATTCTTCAAAGGAGGCAGCTGATGGTCTTTATGGCTGGGGAAAAAGAGTGTCAAACTCTCTCCATCGGTTGCCTTCCCATCTCTACTATTGGCCAGGACTTCAGTTAACTCATCTGTGCTAAAGCATAATGCCATGTTGGGGGGGAGGGGAAGTGTGAAGCTTGTAAAATCCATTCACTGCTCTAGGATCCTGGGATTCAAGCCAAGCTAATCTCAACCATAGCAAGTGCATTTCTGCAGCCCCGTGGTTATTTACATAGAAGGTCAACATGTCTGGCTTCGTTAGAGCTGTGTTGTGTTCATGGAAATTTTCTTTTCTGTTTCAGCAGTGATCTCCAGGGAAGGGGGAGGAAGTGGGAAGAAATTGCAGAGGCAAGTGAGAGCAGAACATAAGCCATAAGAAAGACTTGAGTTTTGTTCTAAGCTTGGTTACAGCTTAGAACAAGGACTTTAGTCACAGGCTAAATAGATCAATAGTCACGGACTATTGATTGAGAGTGCCTGGACCTTTGGGGAGAAGAGATGCTCGGTTATCACAGCATTGTTACCAGATTTCATAATCCTTGGTTCCCAGTGAAAAGGGGGATTTAACAGGCAGACTGGCACTGTATCTGTACACCTAAATAAGTGTCATCCCTTCACAGCAGTCATCTAGGGAACCACATGTTTCTGCCAACCATATAGCCTTTGCTCAAGGCTTTTTCTGGGTTCCTCTTTCAGAATGTCCTTAATCAAGCAGAAGTTGGAACAAGGAGTGGACGTCACAGGGGATGGGGTAGAAATTTCAGTCTGGGATGAGGAAGACCTTCTTAACAATTGGAGCTTTGTGAAAATGAATGTGTTGTCTTAGTATGAAGGGAATTCTCTGCTATTGGAAATGATGACAGAGTTCCTAGAAACACAGAATCTCAAAGTCGTCAAGGACATCAGAAACCATCTAGCCCAAATCACATTCGGATAAGAACCTCCACTACCCCATGCCCAAAGAGTGGTCATCCAGCCTTTGCGTAAAGATCTCCAGTGATGGGCAAATCACTGTATTCCAAGGGAGCCCATTCCAATTCAGTCCAACTCTAATGCTTCGGAAATGTTTTCTTCACACTGAGCCTGAATTAGTTCCATTTTAATTTGCACACATTGGCCCTAATTCTGGGACCAAGCAGCAGAACAAATCTACTCCTTCTTTCATATGATGACCCATAAAGATGGCTAACATACCCCCCTGAGTCTTCTCTAGAGTAAATGTCCCCGGCCCCTCTAACCAGTGCTTCTGTGGCATGATCTCCACTGATCTCCTCTTTGCTATCCTTGGATGTGTTCTAGTTGCCACTGCTCCCCCTAAAAACGGCACTGAACAAAACACTCCATTTGGGGTCTGACATGCCACAGGACTATCATTTCCCTCCCTGGACATTCCATTTCTTTGTGCTAATAGGGCCCTGGACGTAGGGCCATGTTCCCTCTCTCTCTTATCTCACCAATGCTAGCTGGCAGAACTGGTGATCCATATCGGGTTGTCAATGTCCTTCCTCAAACGTGGTACCCACAACTAAACAGAATGCTCTGGAAGATGCCTGACCAGGGCAGAATACTGCGGGACTTACCACCTTTCTTCTTCTGGAAACTATGCTTCTGTGAACACAACGTGAGATCATGTTCATTGGTTACATATTGGAAAGTCAGTCCTGCTGTTTCATAGTCACACCTGGGACACATATTGTTTGGGTCAAGTACAGGTCAAGAAAGCCAGGGGCGAGGGCACCCTCCTGGCTCTGTAGAATCCAGCTGGTGGTGAGCGGTACATGCCTTCATGCTGCACCCCATGAGATGCCACTGGGCCAGCAGCCTTAGGACCCCCAATGGTCCTCTTATTTTTGTCAAGGCTCACTCAGCTGAGCTGCAGAAACTCAAACTTGGATCATTCCTCTCCATGACAACAAAGCACGGGAATCCGAGATGCTTAATTTGCTACTGGCTAGTGCTGAGCAAGCTAATAGCTCCATGGGTCCCAGGAGAAACCTATATAGCTACATTCTCTGTGGGGCACTGGGCAAGTATAGCTTTCTTTATGAAATAAATTGTATGGCTTTCATGCAGCATAATTCCTGAGTCTCTGTGGAATTTGTTCTCAGGTTGGAGAGCCTATTTTGTTGGTGAACTCTGGGATGGAGCCAAAGCCTGGTCCCGGTGAACATCAAATGTTGTATCTGGGCACTTAGTTCCGTGACTCTGGGCAAAGCATTTTGTCTCTGTAAGCCTCAGTTTCCTCATCTGTAAAAGCCAGGTAGGTGGCACAGTGGGTAAGAGCACTAGACTTGGAGTCAGGGAGATCTTAGTTCAAATCCTGCCTACTTAGCTAGCTATGTGACCATGAAGAAGTAAGCCATAACCTCTTAAAGCCTGTGTCCTCATCTATAAACTGGGGATAATAATAGCACCCAGCTCCCAGGGTGGTTATGGGGGTAAAATGAGATATTATTTATAAAATACTTTGCAAACCTTAACATACCATGCAAATGCTGGTTATTATTATTATTATCAAAATGGAGGAAATAATACTTGCACTATCTCCCTCCCAGCCCAGGGTTATTGTATAGAAAGCTTTAAATCTTAAAGGCACTAGAAATATGAGATTATCAGGTACCTTGGTATAATAGGGCCTAGAGTCAAGAGACCTGGAATCAAGTCCTAATTCTAACACTAGCTGGGTGACCCTGGGTAAGTCACAGCTTTTCTGAGCCTTAGGTTGGTAATCTGTAAAATGGGGATAATAAGACCTGCACTAGCTACCTCACAGGATTGTGAGAAGGAGAGTGTTTTGTAAATCTTAATGTGCTATGATTTGCTCAAAGTCACTCCACTGATTGACTGACTGAGTAACTAGCAAACCCACAACTCTTTACTCCTAATCCAGTTCCTTTCTACAGTGCCTGGGCAAAGGATTCTGTTTCCAGAGTCATGGATTCTAGACTGTAGCTCTGCCATTGATGGGTCATTTGACATTGGGAAAGTCAGCTTGTCTCTCTGGGCCTAGCCAGTGTTATTTCCACTTGTGCCCACTCCTTTACTTCATTACCTTTATTTCCCCTTCTTCCTTCCTCCCCTATGTGACACAGTCTTTTTGCCCTTAACAGACAGATGTCTCCTTCTTTGTTGAGAAGACTGAGGCCATCCCTCATAAATTCCCACAAAACTCCTAGGCCTCTCTATGTCTTCTCTCATCCTCTTCCTTCCAGAAGATGAGATAGCGGGGGCAGCTAAGTGGTGCAGTGGATAGAGCACCGGCCCTGAAGTCAGGAGGACCTGAGTTCAAATCCAGCCTCAGACCAAACACTTGACACTTTCTAGCTGTGTGACCCCTGGGCAAGTCACTTAACCCCAATTGCCTAAAAGCAAAAAAATAAAAATAAAAAGCAGAAAATGAGATAGCCCTCTTCACTGCCAAGGATAACACTGAATCATAGACTTAGAGGTCCAGTCCAGCCTTCTCATTTTAGAGATGATGACAAAAACTTATGTCTAGTGAGGTTAAATGGCTTGCCTTGAGGTGGAACAAAATGTCAGACTTGGGATCATTCAACTATCCATAATCTAAATCCATCTCTCTTTCCACCCTACCATGCTATTTTTGTGCCCTTCATTCCCACCCACACACACTCCACATATACATCTTTGATCTCTTTCTCTCCATTGGTTTTTATTTACAAATATTCTCAGACCTCCTCTCCTTTGACTTTGACACTTTCCTTTGACTCTGCTACCCTCTCCAGCTCTCACGTTATCTCTTTCCTCCCCTTCACTGGCAAACTTCCAGAAAGAGTTATCTAGACTCTTCTATCTAAATATTTCCTCTTTCTCATCATGTACTCACTCTTCAACACCCCAGCAATCTGGCTTCTGTTCCCACTGTCCCTACAGAAACTGAGCTGTAAAAAAAATCAACAACGACCTGCTAATTCACAAACTCCAATGGTCTCTTCTCATACCCAATCCTCAACTTTTCAGCAGCATTTGACACTGGTAACCACTCCCTTCTTCCTGGATATTCTCTCTGACATTGATGTCAGTCACACTTCTCTCTCCTAGTACTCTTTTTACATGTGAATTAGCTCAAAACAAAACAAAGCCTTTTTTAAAGTACTCACTACATGCCAGGCTGTGTGCTAAGTGGGGGATGGAAAAGGGGATGCATTCTAGGGTGAGGAGGCCACAGGGGAAGTAGGCAATTCTAGGGCAAGGAGGCCCCACATGCTGAAGGAAGAGGTCCGGGATTAGAAGGCATGGTTCTGAAGTCCAGAAAGTCAGGGACAGGGCCAGAAGGAGAAAGAAGGCAGGGCAGCCTGGAACCTGTGAAATGATCCAGATGGGTATTGAGAAAGACCAGTCAGATGAGCAGGAGGAGAACCAGGAGAGAAGTGTCAAGAAAACCTAGAAAGAAGAAAGTATCCAAAAGGAGAAGGTGATCAAAGGTGTCAAATGCTGCAGAAAGTCAAAAAGGATGAAGATTGAGAAAAGTCCATTAGATTTGGCTATTAAGACATTTGGAGACTTTGGTCTCCACTTTGGAGAGAACAGTTTCAGTAGAATGATGAGGTAGAAACCAGATGGCAATTTTTTACCATCTAATTTTTACTTACAACATCACTAATGTGAAAATATGTTTAATAGGAATGTATATGTATAGCCTATATCAGATTGTGCACTGTCTTGGGAAGGGTGGTGGGAAGGAAGGGGGAGAAAAATTTTAAACTCAAAAGCATATGGAAGTGATTATTGATAAATCAAAATAAATTAATAAAAAATTTAAAAAAAAAAAGAAACCAGATGGCAGATGCTTTAGAAAAGAATGAGAAGTAGAGGCCCTAGGTGTAGACAGTTTTCTTAAGGAGTTTAGCCATGAAGATGGCTAAGATATAGAGATGTAGATGGAGAGATGAAGAATGTTAGCTAGTAGGGATGGTTAGATCAAGCAAAGTTGGGAGGTTTTGTTGTTTTGTTTTTTTAAGGATGAGGCAGTAGATAAGGAGAAATTTAAGGTAGGAGTGTGGAGGTGATCTGCTGAAGAAGGTGGAAGGGGGTGGGGTCAAAGGTATATGTAGAGAAGGGTCACTTCTTCATGGAAGACCAGAGTGAAGGAAATAGTGAGAGAAGATGTCAGAAAGATATGAAAGAGGAAAAGAAAAGAAAGAGTTCATGGTGAATGGCCTTAATTTTTTCTGGAAGCATGAAGCAAGGTCCTAGCATAGAGAATGAGAGGAGGCCATGTTGGGAAGGGCTTTAGAAGAGATGGAAAGGTTTAGAACAGCTATTGTGGAGAATACAATAGTGAATTGATTAAAGAGGAGCAGAATAATTGCCTTTCTCACTGATAGCCCTGTTGAGAATATGTAACAAATTTATAATAGGTCCATTCAGCACAGTTTTATAATTTTCTTCAGCTCATATGAATAGAAGCAAAGGAGGCAGATGGTGAGAGTAGTCCAGGGGTGGGTTTTGGCAGGGTACAACTAGTAATAGGACAAAGGGCAAGAGAATAGAGAGAAGAAGATAGCATAAAGTTCAGTTGATCCACCAAAGTGTTAAGTCAGGGAAAGAAGGAGAGTATAGCCAGTGCAATGGTGACGGCTTGGGAAAGAAGTAAGAAATGGAGATGGTGGTAAGGATGAAGAACAGGGTGTAGGGTGGGGTAAGACATAAGGAAAGATGAAATGTGAAAAGATTATGAGAAGATAAAGGAATTTTGTGAACAAGGAAACACATATGTGCTGTCAAGAGCAAGGATATTGCCATCTCCTGTGTAGCTGAGGTAGACTGGAGGAGTAAATCATGGGAATTGAGTAGATTGAGGAATTGGGAAGGGAGAGTATATGAGGGAGAATCAATATATATATATAAGTGCCCTAGTGTGTGGGGAGGAGATGGGGAGTCAAGAAAGACTCAGAGCAAGGCATTGCATTCATTGGAAGGAGGGGGACCAACTAGATTGCGTAATAATTTTGTATAGAATGAACTTCAAAGAATGAGAAGCTGCTTAGTGAAGACAGTAGAGGGAAACTCTAGAAGTGGTAGTGGGGATAAGAAGTATTCCAACTTCCTTACCATGACCAGTGGGTAAGGGTTAGGAGAGAAAGAGGTGTATTAGAAAGGATAGAGAAGGAAGTGGCATTATAGGAAAGAGCCAGGTCTCAGTGAAGACTAGAAGATAGAAATATTTAAGACAAGTTTAAAATGAAAACATTTGTTCATTATGGGAAGAAGCATTTCAAAGGGCACAGTGGAGTGGAATATTGGTGGGGGGAGATAGAGTTGAAGCCTACAGACACCCTGGAGTGGCACTTTAGGAATAGGGATGAGCATTTGTGCATCTGCTCCTGGGAGTTCAGAATCCCTTGGATGGTTTGAATATAAAGGACGGGAGTATGCTGATCATTAGGACAGCTAGGTGGCACAGTGGATAGAGTGCTGAACCTGCAGTCAACCTGAGTTCAAATTTGGCCTCTGACTTAACTAGCTGGGCATGTCACTTAGCCCTATTACTTCAGTTTCCTCATCTGTCAAATGAGCTGGAGAAGGAAATGGCAAGCCACTGTAGTATCTTTGCCAAGAAAACCCCAAATTATGCCACAAAGAGCTGGACACAACTGAACAATAACCAATGCTAATCATTGAGGACTGAGTCTAGCCAGAGTATCAGGGTGGGTCCACTGAGGGAGGCTTGAGATACAGGTTCTCCATTGAAGTTTAACTTGGGGGCTGCCACATGTTGCTGTGTCTTCTGAGACCCCAGAAGACTTGCCTCCAGCAGACAGAGCCCATGGAGGACTGGGAGACTCTGATCAGCAGAATGATCTGTTTGCTTGTGCTGGAGAAGGCTCTGGGGAGACAGAAAAGGGAAGAGAGCTTGTCCCCAGAAGTCACTGGAGCACTGGAAATTGTCTTGGGACAGGCTCCCCACTGCAGGGGGAGGTGGACTGGGAAATCCTCTGTGCTACACTGGAGAGGGCCCTATTTTAGGGTCTGATGCAGAAGCTAGTAGGCATCAGGAAGGTCTTATCAATATCTTCAAACTTCTCAAACCCCTTTACTGGTTTATCATCCTCTT